GGCAAGTGACAAGCTCTCTCACGAGTTATAAAATACTAGAGGCCCAGTGCACGAATTCTTGCACCTTGAAAGGAACTGTGGGCCCCGAGGCTGTGGTGGGTACAGGGGCAGTTCTCGGCCCATCCTCCGCGCCCCCGCCAGGCCTCAGGAGCAGGGTGAAGTGGAGAAGCTCTGAGGGGTGATCGGGGCTGGCAGCCGCTACTGGCACCCGCTGGCGGTGCCGAGTGATCAGGGCGCCGGCAGTGGGTGTGAGCAAAGAATTTTTAGTAGCCACCAGAGGCTCGCCCCGATCACCCCTTGGTCTGGTGCCCCTGCTCACCTCCACCATCCTGCCACGGCCGACGCCCACCATGTTTCACGCGCACCCCCTGGTGGTCAGCGCATGTCATAGCATCCGGTTGTTTGGTTGTTCTGCTGTTCGGTCTATTTGCATATTTGGGTTTTTTATATATAGATAATGCTACACTGTTAGTGTCACATTCTGCACATAAATAAGGGCTCAGACTGGCTAAAGGTATGCATCCTTGTCCTGCTTTTCAAATCAAGGCTTTATTATTGTTTCTTTAGACGTTGGCCTAAAAAACAATTTTATTAAATTGTGGGTAGGATGTTGGAACATAAATTCTTTAAATTGTTAGTAACACAACTGTTCATATAGGTACGGATACCTGTAGCATTTGATTTAGGTGCAGAAGGTGAGGAGGGAAGGAAGCTGATGGTGGCGAGTATTTTATTTTTGACACAAGGTACTACTACTACTACACTCTTTCACTCATGCCTGTCAAGGAAGCTCTGCCAGTCATTAAGTAGCTTGATAACTCGCTTCAAGCTTTGCTCAAATCTTATGTCTAAAATCTTTGCGTTTGTGAAATACTCTCTGGTGCAGTAGACCAGTCTGAGTCCTTATTTATGTGTGGAATGTGCTGAGCTGTGTTAAAGCCAAGTTCAGATGTTGATGTTGCAAAGAAACACTGCTTTTGTTATCTTAAGATTTTAAAAAGTATCAAGTTTTCAATATGGATATATTTTCAGCAACTTTTAGTCGAAGAAGTGAAAGTAATTATTAGTATATTAGTGGCAGTGTTGAGATTCTTTGTGCTGAATTCAGTACTTCTCTAAAGGTGTTGATATATAAATGTTTTTAAGTATTTACACTTGTGAAAAAAAATTCTAAAAAGGAAGTTTGTTAGAAAAGCAAGAAGTTGGAAAATGTATTGGTTTGACAGTCTGAGGCATGTCTGAAACATCTTAAGGTTTATATATTTCCTTAATAAAAACCAGTGGAGTTACAAACATCCCCTTGGTGTTTGAATATACATTTCAACAGATCTATTTTCTAGGTGGAAATACTTCACTAAAGCTGTATATCCTTTCTGTTTCATCTATGAAAATAGAAGCACAAATTATTGTACTTTAAACAGTCATTCTTACATTAACCATTAAGAAAGAGAAAATACTGCGAATGTCATCTTCATAGTACATGGAGTAGGGAAAAACCTTGTTTTATTTAAAATTCTCAAAATGAGGGACAGCTTCACTCTAATTGGGAAGGAAATTTGAATTTGGGAAAATGTGGGGTGATAAAGTATTATGTATGGATTATAAATTAGGAAGCCATTTATTTTAAGTATTAAACAGAAGAAATATATTTTTTAAAAGAAAATACACCTTCCAATGGTAAAATTAATTTTTGAAGGTGGTTTCTGGCAAAGATAATTTATATGTAAAAAGGAAATTGTCTGGCTTTATATGTAGATGAGAAAATATGATGATGGAATAAATCAAACAGTACATAAGATTAGCTCCATATCTGTCTAAAACATCAGATTTCAAATACAGCAGATTTGGACACCTCAGAGTAGCTCCATATCTGTCTGTGCTACAACAGTGATGAGTATAAAGAATTTTCAGTTTCAAACAAAGGCATGTTTGTTCTCATAGAATTGGTTAAAGGAGATTTTATTTCACAATGAATTCTTAATGGCCAAGGTCTTTGATTCAGGTTGGAATTAAACTTGTCAAATAGCAACACTGAAATAATGTTTGTGATGTTGTGAATTTAGCCTTTTGCTCTTACATTCTTGCTAGGAAGGAAATATATGAAACATACTGTTGGTTTAAGCTTATAAACTTTCACAGTATTTTCCCAATTCAGTGGACAAAGCCAATTTCAAGACTGCTACTTCCTAGTTTAGAGTTTAGGTGAGATGAAGAATGTTCATCCCTGCTTGAAAATAAATTTTAACTATGGCAAGAATATAAATTTTCTTCTGATTTTCCTCCTTGAACATATGCTTAAAACTTAACATGTCATTTTTGTGTGAACATAAATTTTATTTCACTTAATGCTCAGGGTTTGTGATCCTGTAATATATCTATCACTGATTTATAGTTGGAATGGCTTATAAATGAATGACTGCTCTTTCAAACATTTATAAATATGTGATTGATAGTTTACCACTTGTGGCAAAAATATTTACTTTGAATAATCAAATTAATACATCTTTGATCTTTTCATTTCAAGGATGGTTTTTTTTTTCTTACTCTACCTCCTACCCTATATTTTAAAAGTTAAGATCCAGTATTCTTGCAAACATTTTCTGCACTTGAACTCTGCTTCTCTCCCTTCACTCACTTCTCAAACCACTCTAATTTGATTTCTGCCCATACTGCTTCACTAAAACTGCTATAGCCAGGCCACCAAGTGTCTGTAGCACATTTCTCAGTCTTTGTTGTCATTGAGGCAGTTAATACTGGTACCCACCTTCCTGATCCCACCAAACACAGAGCATTGTCTTCTTCCCGAAGCGATTTGACCTTGCAGTCGATGTTGATGGTTGACCTGGATCAACCCATGATTTTGTGCATTTGGGATTCTCAAAATAAATCCACTTTTCATCACCAATCACAATTCAATGCAAAAAAAAAAAAGACTTCCTTTCATGCTGTTGAAGCAACATTTTACTGATGACTTTTCTGTTTTCCATTTGTCTTTAGTTAGTTGATGTGGCACCCATTTTCCTTCCTTTAAAATCTTTCCCATTGCTTATAAACAATCAGAAAATGTTTGCTGAGCAACGTTTAATCTTTCTGCAAGTTGTTTTTGAGTTTGACATGCATCTTCATCCAATAATGCTTGTAATTGTTGGTCTTCAAACTTTTTCGGTTGACCTGGACGATCTTTGTCTTTCACATGGAAATCATCACTTTCACAGCGTTTAAACCAGCGTTCACAAGTATCTTGAGATGGAGCATGTTCACCATAAGCTTCCCGAAGTATATGATAACTTTTTCTTCAAAATAAAGTAATGAATTAAAACTTCCTGCAAATGCTCTTTTTTGGGGCACGTAAAAATATCTATGATGTTAACACCTTCAGCAAATTTGACATATGAAGTTTTGAAGCTTGCTGTCAATACAACAAAATAGCATACATTTCAAATCGCATATATGTCAACATATGTGTAACTCCATCTATTGAAAAAATCCTCTTTATTAACTGGTACACCTAGTAAACTGGTTTGACTGACACTCATTCTGATGATGTTGGGAACAGGGACCTAATGTCTTGATTCAAAATGCAGTCTAACCTAACCCTTAATCATCTCTCATGTACAATTCTAATATCAATGGAGAAGGTGATAATTTTTTTATAATTATTGATGCATTATTGCTGCTTGAATATCTAAAAAAGTTGATTGCTATTCTACTTACTATCTGGGTTATCTTTGAGAACAAAGGACTCAATTGAAGAAACCTATAGGAAAATGATCAGTATTTCTTTTTGGAATTAGGAACTATTATATGGTGTTTGAATTAGTGAATTAAAAAAAAACTTATTAGAACAGCTTATACTTTTATAGTCATAAAATAGAATGCTCTGGGAAGGCAAGAATTTCTGTCTTCTTTCACAGCTATATCCCTAATAACCGGATACTGAAAAAAGGCTTGCAAAGATTTGTTGAATAAATATCAGTTTATTAAAATCTTGAATTTTTTTCAGTGTTTACTTTTTGGGGAAATATTTATTCTTAATTTTATCACAGATTTAAGAAATAAAAGTGGTGGTGGGGGGACGAGGAGAGAGAGACGAAAGAACTTATCCTATATAATAAAGAGGTAACATGCAAATTAACCCCCATGCCCTCACAAGATGGCTACCTACGACCAGGCTGGCAGGGGGTTAGTGAGGGACGACCAAACAACTGAACAGCAGGCTGTGTGGGGTAGGAGGGCCTTGAGGGGCGACCAGGCTGGCAGGTAGGGGGCAGTTGGGGGCAAGCAGGCCAGGAGGGGGGGGGAGTTAGGGGTGACCAGGCTGGCAGGGGGGGGGCAGAAGAGGAGACCAGGCTGGCGGGGGGGGGGGGTGCAATTGGGGGGCAACCAGGGGGGGG